CATCATCATCATCATCATCATCATCATCATCATCATCATCATCATCATCATCATCATCATCATCATCATCTGCTTTTTTGTAATTCCACTGTCTAACAGTGATCTTTGTTCCTTTCCTGGTCTTGTTCTCTTTCTAACTGGGTACCACAAACCTTGGTGGACCTGATGTATTTCCACACGTCTCTATCCAGTAGTTATTTTTTTGGAAAAAAACCCTACTAAATTCTACTTTCAAATAAACATACATACAACTGTGTTGTTAACAATGTTAATGGGAGGTGAACAATAAAAGGACTTCTGCCCATAAAACCTCAGGCACGATTCCTTTTAAAGAACCAGTATGAGGGCATTTATTCCTCCCCTCAAATAAATCAGCACAAAAGGCAGAACCGCTCCCCTTTTAACTAGAATAGTAGTTCTGAACACTCTGTGTGACTTCCCAGACGAAGGCAATAAAAGGCTGAAATTTGTTTGCATGCTGTATCCAACCCAAATGCCAAACTGCCAGATAAGCAATCATATTGACAAGCAAAGGCCTCTGACACAGTTCTAGAGATACAGTTAAAGTTTAGCAGACAATGATAATCAAGGACACAGGCCTTTGGGGAAGGTCCATGGTGTGGTGCAAGTTCTTTTTCTGTTGATGGGCTTCTCAGTTCCCTTGCCCCCTCTCTGTGTGTACATGCATAAACATGAGATAAGAGAGTGGAGAGATAGAGTTCCTGACGGCTCCATCTACCTTAACAGTCCAAATTCCTTTTGCCTTTGGTTACAAGTGAGCACTAAAATCCTATCCCCTCCCCAATCTGTTATCAGGAACCCATAGTTCTGTTTTATTTACTCTGTCTGTCCACTTCATTCTGTTTCTCTTCCATGCGAGCTAATCCTGATTCAATCACAGTAAGCTGTGCAGTCCAGTCTTGCTGTCTTCCTTCAGAAAGCATCATTTTCAAAACAGTTCCTGTCTGTCTTAAAATTGTCATCTTGTGTTATGTTCTATGCCTTTTGAACTTGCATGATAGATAGAAACCAGCAAGCCTAGCTGGATTTACCTTAATACACATATAGCTTGCCCTATATTTCCCTGCTTACTCCATCAGGGTTTAGATTCTAACTAAGACAACTTCCAGTGGGACTGACGTGTTAGGCTACAAAAATTACAGAAGTCTTGGGGTATCTTAAAGATTGACGGATCATAATGGCATAAACTTTCATGAAGAAGAACCCAGTTTTATTAGCTCAGGGTATGACTGCACAGCAAGGGAAATACAAATTCACTTGCATTCATTCATTGTGAGGTTGAACCAGGGAATTCAGGTTTCACTGGCTCTCTATGCATTAACTGGCCACACAGGGACAGAGAGGAAGCCTTGTTTACAAGTTGTTTGCAGCTCTATTTACAGCCCTGCAGGTGGTGCTTTTAAAAGGGAACTGCATAGTAAGCCGTAAACAAGGCCTTCCTCCCCCCCTTTACCTTTCCTAAGCTGTTTGTTTTTAAAAAGAGAAGTTTTGTTCACCCATAGTTGTTTCAAGAAAAGAAGGAAAATCTTAGTGGTGGGCTTTGCTCACCATTCCCTGAGTGTGTGCTGGTGCAGTGGCTTTTCTGTATCGGTTCAGGCAATCATATGTCCTAATTAATGTGAATGGATCGATTTTTTCAAAAGTAGGAGCCCCAGTGGTAACAGGGGGAAACTACAGATATGGGGGAGGGGTACTCTGGGTTGATACACATTTCCCTTTGCATCACATGGTTAATGGGGGAAAATGTGAATCAGCCTGCCCCTTAGTATTTCCTCCATGAGTTGGCTGACTAGACATTAGCTGCCTCAAACGCTCTTGATATTGCCCATTACTAGATGAAAATTATCTGATATGTTTATTGATTGCACTATAGTGCTTCTCACATGAACAAAGAAAACAAGTTGCATATGTAACCTTGTATTTAGTAAATATGCACACACACACAAATATGAACAATTGGGTCACAAAGCTATAATATATAGGAGGTTCAGTATATTTCTGTCTGTACAAAGAAAGAGAGAAGGAGAGAGCTCACAATGATTGGAACTTGGGAACCTCTGTTTTTGTCCTACATTACATTGGATAACCCACTCTTTCTGCCACAGCTGTCATAATTATATCTTATAACAGATACATAGAAAGGGTAAGAGATGAACAAGATTTTTAAAAAACTGGCAGACATGAATGCTCAAAATCCCCATAGCTCCCCTCCCAAGAATGCTTTTGTTTTAGCTTGAAAAAATAGCCTGTTGGACAATCCTTGGCATTCTGATAAAACTGCCTACATTCCAGCTTCAATAAGATACAGTGTTTTTTCCTTGGATGTACAGGGATCTTTCTCATTTTTGTTATCGTCTATGTACTTGGCAAGCCAGGGCCAGGAGGCAGAAAATCCACAAACTGCCATCTATACAGTAAATCTGTCAAATTTGATTGCATGTCTTTAAAACATGGATAAGCTTTGACCCACGGAGAAGGACAAATTGAAAATGGAGCATGATTCCTAACAGATCAAGGTCACAATGCAAGACATTTAAAACCACCATGGATTAGGCCAGTGCTAAACTGGCTAAGGTCCATAGCCTTTGAAAACAAAAAAAAAAAATCTGTTATTTGGTGGGGACTAAGGATGGATCTAGTAACTAAGTTAAGGCAGTCAAGGGATAGTGATGCACTGCTTTGTACACAGCTCTGTAGATTTATCCTTGTTGTCTTGTTTTTCTGCTAACTAGTATTATCTGTCCCCCCTCCCCCCTGAATGGTTAACAACCTAAGATGTAGGCTCAGTCCAGATAAACATGTATTCTTATGCACATTTAATTGGGAGTAAGTGATAGAACACAAAAAATATCTCAGACTTAAAATTGTGTCATTTCAGAAGTGTAGCCTTTGTAATCAGTGGTCAAGTCCGTTGTGTTTGTGTGGGATTTAAGACTAATCTTTACTGGACTATGGACAGAACACTGATGATATGCAAAGAAAGCTCCATATGTCCAGCAATATTAATGACTACTGGCCTAATACTGACCTATGAAACCAACATAGATTTCTTCCCTGTCCACAGTTTTTAATAAAAGTTCCCACAAAAACAAAACAAAAAACGATGGCACTTGTTCACAAACACTCTTCCTAAAACTATAAACAATAAGCCCACACTTCATTTAACACTGTGGTATTTGCAACCCTTTTTTTTTTCTAGAGATAAAAGTTTTCTGACACAAAGTACTTCAAATGATTCAGTATACTGGCGATTAGTTTTGCCCGAACCCTTTCAACTGCCTATTGCACAAACGTAGTTGAAACCAAGAAAAATCAATCCTGTCGTCAAAACAGAAAACATTTGAGCAAAAAACAGTGAGATCACAATCCTCATCTACAAATAACTTAGTTACATTTTCTCCAATGTGTTCAAAGTCATGTTTGTGGCTATCTGTCTTCCCTCTTTGTTTTCACAACGTCTGTGAAGTAGACCATGCTATAGAAGTGTACTTGGCTGAAATACATTAAGTAAGCTTCATAGCATCGTGAGATGTCCACCTGTGTCCCTCAGGTCCCGGTATAACCTTCACAAGGTGAAAGTCTAACTACTAGTAGGCCTCTAATGGCACTTACTTCTAAGTGTTTAGGACTGCAGTCTGAACAACCTGGATTTCAATAACATTTTCTTAAAGTATGTTGATGTTATTTGTCCTGTGGAATAACCAGTGGTTTCATTTGCCCTCCTCTAGATCATTCTCAGTGGATCCGTAGACAGCCTGTGGTCTGCTCGTGACAACTCATTACCTCTGGTCCAAGAAACAAAAATGGAAATCTGTCATGTTAAAATGAATTTAATGCCCTGCCCCATTGGCACATGAAGTTCTCTGCAGCATTTATTGTGCGATTATGGAGCAGAAACGTCCCAAAGGCAACTTCAAACTCTGAGAATACATGGAAGATGCACTTTAAAGGGTCTGCTCATGAATCCTTTAACTCAAAACAAGAATGTGAGAACGGTTCTAGTCCTTATGGAATCATGTTAAAAAAGACAGAAAATAAGCTATGTATATGGGAATAGACCAGCTTTAAAGGCTATTTGAAGAAGAGGCCTATCCTACTCTTAAGTTCTCTCATCATATTGATGGCAGACATCACTTTATGAATTACTGACTGTGTTATTTCTAACTATCTAAACAATAGGTGTAAAAAATGACACATGCAGTTGTCACAAATATTTTTATCAGTGAGGGAGTGATATTTGTGCCAAAATTTGTTTTGCATTGTAGCCTTAGACAGCTAATCCTACCTAGCAGATGCAATGTGAATGTACAAACAGATGTTTGCAGGTAGATATGTTGCTCTCTGTGTGGGTTGGGGTATTCAGTTAGCCAGTAATGCATGTACAATAATGTGGCTCATATCCCATAGAAGGGGTGCCCCATGTGCCCACAGCTTGTTCTCTGGCTCTGCGTTTCAGTCTACTCAGAACAGGGCCAAATTCTGCAAAACCAGTATCAATAAAATTACTTCATTTAAATAATACTTCTCTGTGTAAAATAAGTTGCACTATGAATATTGCATTAAAGGCAATGGATGCAAATGCATTTCTGCTCTGAAAAACGTGTTCTTTAGTATTTTGATATGATTAAACCTTTCAAATCAGCTAGCATCAAACCAGCAGTATCTGCACTTTTGTCTTTAGATTATTATACATTTTGCACAAAAAAGATGCACCAAACATGGAATAGGAATTCAATAACAGCCCTGCTGGAACAGACCAAAAATCTATCCTGCCTAGTCCAGCATCCAGTTATACTCTACGAATTTGCTTAATGTGATCAAACTGGGAAACAGATAATATTTTGGACTGCATGTGGAGCTGTCCAGTGTAATCTATTTTTGGTGATCATATGACATCTGGGACAATGCATTCCAACCGGACTCCAATCTGTGCCCAGGCTGGATCTTTCTGGTACACCTGTATGTTTACTACTTTGTGGAGGGGGGTGGTGGCTGGACTAGAGCAGTTTTCCAACAGATGGAAGGGTTTATTTAAAGGAGATTGCTCCCTGCAAAGCATCTCTTGACAATGTGATCAGACATGTACCTTTCCCATTGTCTGACCCGATTATTAGTTGGTGATCATCATCCACCATGTGGGAAAAAAATTTCAGTTTGATTATGCTCTGAGTAGAAAAGAACCCTTTATCGCTTTATTTCTATGCTTAACTTACAAGTATGGGAACAACAAAAATGCAAGTACTCGAGCGCATGCGCATAATAAACACTGCCCTAAGGCTGAAACAAAATAGTGTATAGATAAGCGATTCTATCCCTCCATCTATTTCATCCTTCCGGAGCTCGGCTCTGTAGCTGTTTCCTGATTGGTCGAAATAAGCGCAGGCGTAGAAGAGCGAGTGGACGTCCAAAGAGCCTTTCTTTCCCACTATTGGGCTGATAGAGCTCAGAACGCGTGGGAGCGGGATCTTTGCTTGAAGGAAAAGGGAGGGGTGGAGCAGGGGCGGGGCGGGGTATAAGGCCGCGCAGGCGCTGGGAGCGGTATCTTTGCTTGAAGGAAAAGGGAGGGGGTGGAGCAGGGGCGGGGCGGGGTACAAGGCCGCGCAGGCGCAGAATGCCCCCGACCGTTCCTCGCTCGCCTTTCTGGGCCGTTCCGAGTTCGGCGCCAGCCAAATCGAGCCCCGCCCCCTCCTTTTTTTCTTTCCTCCCCCTGCCTTGCGCCGGCGGGGAGCCGGGCGCGAGTATCTTTGCTTGAAGGAAAAGGGAGGGGGTGGAGCAGGGGCGGGGCGGGGTACAAGGCCGCGCAGGCGCAGAATGCCCCCGACCGTTCCTCGCTCGCCTTTCTGGGCCGTTCCGAGTTCGGCGCCAGCCAAATCGAGCCCCGCCCCCTCCTTTTTTTCTTTCCTCCCCCTGCCTTGCGCCGGCGGGGAGCCGGGCGCGAGCAGAGGAGGGAGGGCGGACGGGCGAGGAGTAGTGGGAGGGAGGGGGTGTCGTTTCGTGTGTCAGCGTCAGTCAGACGGCGCGCGAGCCCGCGGTGTTGCTGTGGCGGCTGCCCTCCTGCGAGCTGCGCCGTGAGGGCTCCAAACGTGAGGGGAGAAAAAAACAAAAAAACAAGTGCCCGCTCCTTTCCGTCGTTTGTTGGGGACGGCGACGGTGGTGGTGTTGGCGGCGGCGGCTCCCGGAGGATCCTCCCGAGCGCGGGCTATGACCTGCCTGCCCAGCTACTTGAGCGGCGGCAATTCCTGCGCCGCCCTCCGCGCTTTCCTCAAATCCTCGCGGCGACACCAGCCCCCTGCGCTGCCTCGGCGGCACCTCACCTTAACGCCCAGCCTCTTACGTTTGGCCGAGGCGGCGGCGGCGGCGGCGGCGCCTCCCTCCGCTGCCGCCTTCGGGCTCCCTCTCCCGTCGGCGCTGGCGGGGCGAGGGTCTCCTTCGCCGTCGCCCCCTCCTCCTCCTCCTCCCTGCCCCCCTCTGTCCCCGGCCTCTTCCTCGCACAGGTGCCTCAGTTCCGACGTCTCGTCTTCGGGGGTCGCCGGCGGCGCCGGGTTCCGCCCAGCCCGGGTGGTAGTGGTGGCCAAGACCACCCGGTACGAGTTCGAGCAGCAGCGGTACCGATACGCGGGGCTCTCGGAGGAGGACCTCAAGCAGCTGGTGAGTGGCTTGGTGCAGCTCCCTCCGGGCTCTGCTGGACCCGTCCTTCGGGATGAAGTGGGGGGGAGAAAGAGAGTTGGGGGTTTGCAGATTGTGCCACTCTGGGCAGCAGGTGCTGTGGTCACCCCTTTGAATGTTCTTGGGTCTATGGAAACACAGCTTTCTGAGGGAAAGCCTTGCCCAGCAAGAGAGGGAATGGAGAACCATCTTTTCCATTGTTAATTTTAGTTTCCCCCTTGCTGTAAACCCTGGAAAGGAGGAAGAAATATAGCAGCCCACACGGTCAGACTGGTGTGGGGGCACATGGCAGGTAGGCACCTTGTTGGACCTCAGGAAGCCATATTATCTGAGACCCTAAAAGATAGTGTGAGAATCTTGCGTATGTTTCATAGCTGGGGAAAGGTTGAGACTGTAATGTTCTTATGTGCTGTCAAATCACCTCTGACATACGACAACCCCATGAATGAGCGACCTCCAACATGTCCTGCCCTCAACAGCCCTGCTTAACTCCTGCTGATTGAAGCCTGTGGCTTCGTTCAAAAAACAATCCATCTTGTACAGTATTTGGTCTTTCTCTTTTCCTACTGCCTCTGATTTAAGCCTGTGGCTTCGTTCAAAAAATCAATCCATCTTGTATTTGGTCTTTCTCTTTTCCTACTGCCTTCCACCTTTCTTGGCATTATTGATTTTTTCCAGAGAATCCTGCCTTTCTCATTATGTGCCCCAAATAGGACAACCTCAGTTTCAACATTTTAACCTCCAGAAATAATTCAGGCTTGATTTGATCTAGGACTTATTTGTCTTGCTAGCATTAAAATATGGGAATTTCATGTCCTTTAAAAAAAAAAAACACCCAGGAGGGTGAACATGTAGGAAGCTGTTGCATCAAAACTAAAAGAGTTGTTTAACATATTGAACATTGTATGATAAAGTGTTGTGGTTTTAATCTACCAGTATTGTATGCTGAAACTGGCTTTAATCTATGCAAGCATATGCTGCAGTAAGTCTTAAACATTATATAGCATTATTTTCCATGTTTGCATCTTATTTTGCGGCATCAATGAGGCATCAATGTATACTCACACATAGGCATCAGTGTATACTCAGACATAGTCTGCTTGTACTGGGAAATGACATTGGACAGATTGTGCACGTGCCAAGCAGCCCCATGACTCCACAGAACTTTGCTTGTTGCTCATGGTGATGGCAAATCCAGTAGTATTTAAAGCTGCTGTTTTGCTGGAGGTCCCATCAACTCTTTTCAGACATCAGGGTGTGGGATTATTTTGTGTGTGTATGCTGTAACACATAGTTATGAAGAGTTCTAATGGTTATAAAGAGAGGTTGTTGAATATACCATTTTTCTCCTTATATTGTGTAATAATATATGCTATCAACTTACAGAGATCATGCTAGGGTTTTCTAGTGGTTTACTGAAGTGGTTCACCATTCCCTTTTTATTTTTATAATGGCTGTATAACAGCAACAGGTATGCCTGAGAGGTTAATTCAAATGATGAATGTTTGTACATGCTTCCTATAGATCTGCTGAAAAATAATCATGTTTCACACTGGAATTGGAAGCATTTGAAATGAAATGAATTTATTTATTTATTACGGTAGGGTGACCAGCTCATAAAACATTATATAGCTAAAATATACGAAATGTAATTTAAAATGTACAATAGATAATTAATTGTGTACTAGTTATAAAATACAGTATGAGGAGAATCAGTTACAGCATTTTTATACCTTCCTTTTAACCATTGGATTGTCTGGGGCAAACCATTTGTACAGGGTCTTTGGGGTATAGGGAGTCCTTCCTACATATTTGTAAACATTTGTAAACATTTTGTCCCTTTTGTTGGGACCACAAAATTAGAAACAATTAGAAAAGATCAGTTTTAGAACTGGTGGGATCATTCTAAATTCCTAAATGATGATAACATGCCTTGGCAATTCGGACTTATGGTGACCGTTTTCAGGATTTTAGAGGTAGAGAATACACAGAAATATTTTACCATTCCCTTCTTCTAGAGGCATCCTGGGGAAATGAACTCCTAACCTCTGTCTTTGCAGCCAGATAACTGAACCACTGACAATTGGGATAACTTGGAGGCAGATTGCTTCTAAAGTCAGTGTAGGCATTGTTTGTTGTGCAACATGGCGTGCAACAAATGTCTACACTGACTTCATGATGTGAGGCAGTTGCCCTGTGAAAGCTACAGTGAATTTCAATTTGTCTAGGTGAGAGAGGATCCTGCCACTCATCTTCATTGAATGACCCCTGTGAGAAAAGGAGAAAATCCACATCTTTGACATTATTCAAATGTTATGCTCCACTATCTTGTCACCTGTTACTATCCTGTTTTCTGAGCTAAAATCCTACATATTATCATGTTTAAACTCTGGAAATTGCTCCATCTGTTGGAGCACTTTGTTGTTTCTGCATCTCCAACTTTATCATAAAGTTGGAAATTGTATGGTGCAATTATCAGAACTGCATGCATTGTTTCAGATATAGTTGAACCATCAATTTGTGTAAAGACAAATCAATCTATGGTGGGTTTATTATATTGACAATTCATTTTCTTTTTTTCCTAACTATCCCAAGATACTGTACAATATTCCTTTATCACCACAGCTGTGCACCGAGATGACTAATTTTTTTGAGTTACCACAAAAATGTTTATATCTCTTTCCCTGCAAATTAAGACTCCAATAGTGTATATGTGAAATTAGTATTGTTATCCTAATGTGCATCACTCGAGACTTGTTTACAGTAAATCAGATTTACCATCTTAATGGTAGTCTAAAACCAATGAAGTGGCATCTGTCATACTTGAGTTGGTGTCTGTTGATGAGTTTATAGTTTAGAAATTGCTTGGTATAGGCACTGACTTGCTTCAACAAATTTGTGGCCTATAGGACTGGTATTTATTTTGAAGTTATAAGAGAAAATGAGTTAAATGAAAGAGGCTACATATAACTGTGCTTTTAATGCAGTGAAGTATCGTGAAAAACGTATCCATAAAACTATCATTCTTTTAGTGTTAAAAAGCTACTTTAAGTCTGTGAAGGAGATGATTGGTAATCTCATCAAGGTTCAAAACACTTAGTTGCAGATAATTAAATATGATTCTCCATAAGATTACACAGTAAGGAGTTAATATGTGGTGCTTGTTTGGGAACTCACACAGTTTTTCCTGCTCTTTAATGACCTAAACTTTGTACCTTCCCCTGTTCTAAAAAAAGAAATATTTTCTCTTTTTATGTCAATAAACTGTTCTGCATAGTAGAATACAGTGGTGTCTCGCTTGATGACGTTAATCCGTTCCAGCAAAATCGTCGTCAAGAAAAATAAAAAAGACAATTGAAATGCATTGAAAACCGTTCAGTGCGTTCCAATGGGCGAAATACCTGCTCGTCCAGCGAAGATCCTCCATAGGGCGGCCATTTTCTGCTCCCTGTAACACAGTGCGGAGCCATTTTGCACAGCAGGTGGCTATTTTGGAAACCTGGCGATCAGCTGTTTTGATTGTCGTAAAGCGAAAAATCGGTTCCCAAAGCAGGGAACTGGTCATTGTAAAGCGGTTTTTTCCTATCTAAACATTGTTTTGCGATCGTTAAACAGATTCGTTGTGGAGCGGGGTAATTGTTAAGCGGGGCACCACTGTACTATCTCCTGTTGCTTCTAGGAAAAGTTGGGCCCTTATAGTTCAATCTCATACATGACCACAAAGAAGTAAGCCTAATTGAGCTCTGTGGAACTTAAAAAGGTAAAGGTTTCCCTTGATATTTAGTCCAGTCATGTCCAACTCTAGGATGTGGTGCTCATCCCCGTCTCCAAGCTGTAGAGCCAGCGTTTGCCCGTAGACAGTTTCTGTGGTCATGTAGCCAGTGCGACTAGACACGGAACGCTGTTACCTTCCCACCATGGTGGTACCTATTTATCTACTCGCATTTACATGCAGGTTGACAGGAGCTGGGACAAGTGATGGGAGCTCACTCAGTTGCGTGGATTCAATCTTACGACTGCTGGTCTTCTGACCTGGATTGCATCCTTATTCTCTAAATAAAGAGGTGTCCAAACTACAGTTTTAGATTAACTGCTTTTTTTTCAGTGAAGTGCAGGATTGTGTAATTTTAGATTAACTGCTTTTTTTTTTTCAGTGAAGTGCAGGATTGTGTATTGTGCAATACAGTAGAAAGAGCAGAAGTGAAACAGAAGTATCGACATGGGAGAGACATATACTGCTTTGATGTTGCAAATGTTGAATTTACTACAACAAACTAGGGTATACAGTGTTTCACTGAGCAGATTATTCTAGATAGCTAACTGGAAACATTTGTTTCCTGAATGCTTAAGTACCTGTGGGAACTTGATTTTAGCCTTTTTTCCTCCGTACAGTGATTAAAACAGCCCACTCTTGTGTATTGTATCAACTGCACTTATGCCCTTGGCAGGATCATCTAGTTCTTGATAATGTTGAAATTCAGTGCATCTTTCTGGTTCCTTCTTTACCCTGGCAGACATCTGACTGAGATATACATATGATAGAGCTTATTTATTTATTTATTTATTTGATTTGATTTGTTGGCACCTGTTATTTATTTATTTAATATGCCGCCCATTCTACCCAGAGTTCCTTCCAATTCAGTTTCTAAACCATGTGGACGCATTGCTTTACAGCTGATAAACTACAAACATTTGTCTAAGCTTCAAAATAATTTGTTTCTACCATAATTTGTTTCTGTCTCTCAGAGAACTTAAATACATAAAGTATTGGAAGTCTTTCATTAAGACCTTCATGTTATATAGTTTGAATCCATGTCATAAATATACTATTTATCATTGTAAAATAACATATTCTACATTCCATTTTAAAAAAATTCAGGGGGAAAAAGCTTTGGAAAAAATGGGGAAAAAGCTCTCCCCCCATTTTATCCATTTTTTTCCCTGCCAGGCCTTCCCATCTCTATTTCTATGAATTAACTTAC